TAGTGGGAGCGTAGCTCAACGGGGTTGGTGAGTTTGTCAAGATGATAGGGAACTTTGTTCATGTGCGCGACGAGCTCGTTCAAGCGGCCTACTCTCTTCGGCCGGGGTTTTCCCTCGTAGTCCATGACCCACTTTGGGTCGAAGGTGAAGGCCCCTTCGGGGGGTTTTACGAAAAAGAAACGGGTTTTCCAATGGCTTATCTTTGTATTCAACTCTTTCAAGAAGCCAGCTCGATTTCGAGCACTTAGGTAGAACGATCCGGCTTGATGCCCCGTAAGGCCGTAACAATAGAAGAACAGTTCGGGGTCCAGCTTCCCAAAATAGTAATGGCTTAAGATTGTGAAGCCTATCAGGATTCGGATGCTATTTGGTGTGAGTTGATTCAAGGGAAAGCCGTGTTGTTGTGCTAGCGTAAGTAGGTCTTGACGTATGGGGAAGCGGAGACCACTAAGCATTTGATCGACGAAGAAAGTGTAGTAGTCAGGGGGGGGTCGGTTATACGAGTCACCCGGCGAGGGCGTTTTGAACGTCCAATCGGGTGGGAGCTCGCACAGTTTTTTGAAGGCCTCGATGGTGGGTTCGGTGGCATTAAAGAAGGGGTTGGACCGAGTCATGACTACAAGATCGGGGAATAATGCTATGGGATTAGCGAGGGGTTCGGTCTCTACGATTATGGTTGAGTATTTCGAACGTACTGTGTGGACGGGTAAGGGCTGAGCTGGTGGAGGGCTATCCGGTAAACAAAGGATATTTGTATCGACAATGGAAGCTAGCGAGTCCCAAGGGATGTCCCCTTCGACTTCATCGCGGAGGTGTAAGGTAGGTTTCGGGGACACTTCGTGGATGGGGGTCTCGGGGTGTGCGACAAGCTCTTCGTCGGAAGAACTCATGTCGAAGCCCGAATGCCCGGATGTCGAAGAGGAGGATATCACGTCAAATGGCTCGACATCTAAAACAAAAAAAAATATATATATAAATATAAGGGTTGTGGTCTGGAAATCTTGTCGTAGGGCTATATTCTTATCATTTTTCGAAAGTGGATGGTCCAGTAAATTTGGGATAAACGTTTGAGGCAAGTTCAAATGGGTGGACAATCGCTATAGAGCTGCCGGGCAACTTGGGTTGAATATTCGACCTAGCGATTGATTTAGGAATGGTACGTATGTGTCTGTAACAAATACAAAAGAAGAGAATAATGGAGAGTGCAGGTACGAGAACTTACCCATTGTAATGGAGCAGACGGAAATCGCGAACAGATGGGGCGCCGCGTGTTATTGCCGGGGAACTCAGCAGGAATTTTCGAAGGAACACAATAGCTGGTGTTGTTTGGTTCGGAGTATGGTGGAAGTCTGAAAGATGACAACTCCTATTTATTGATGGCAGGGGAACATTTTAAATAGTTGTTTAATTAACAATGAAAGTTAGATGGGTAATGGGCACGTGGCTCAAGGGTACATAAGCATTAGTCAAAGGGCTAAGGCTATGACGTGAATGATGACGGACGGCAATGATGACAAGAAGCTGACCATCGCGATTTCCAAGACATCTTTTTGGATGGCGAGCTTAATAATCTGCTCGGGGGGGATTTTTCCATCTGCTCGGATATTAAGAATCTGCTCGGTCACATATTACCCACGAGTACGTACCTGCTCGGTCGTGAGGCTTAAGCATCTGCTCGGATATAAAAAAAAGAAAAATAATAATAAAAAAAAAGGGGGAAGAACGAAGAGCTGCTCGGTCACAGGGTTGGCAATCTGCTCGGATCGCCGGCGTGAGGTAATCTGCTCGGACATGAGGTTGACTAATCTTTTCGGTCCAGAGTTCAACAATATAAAATATATATATAAAAAATCTCTCTGTTCGGAGGACATGAGTTGCTGATGAAGACCGCGTGTTGTCGTCGAGAAATGTGTTCGAAATCCTCAAGAAGGAGCAATATTTCGTGTTGTTTTGCTGAGAACAAGTTTGGAGGAGAAGATATAATTAATGGTTGAAGGGGACACCACCTACTGACACCATGCAAAAAGATATTTCACAATTTGCTTTGCAGTGAGACATATGGGCTAAAATAAATGCTAGGCACATAGTCCAAATACAAAATGACGCTGTTGCATTTACATGGTCAATGGGAGGTGACAAGACATGTCAAGATATGTCAGATTATCAAGTGGAGTACTAATAAAAAACAAATAAGTGCAATACTGACAATAGGATGACAGGCGCGATTTCCAAAATGTATATCCCAATTGGCCTGGTCATACATACTAGTAATCTGCTCGGATATGGTGTCGAAACATTTGCCCGGGCAAGTATTGGACGCAGCTCCGGGGTCGTTATGGCCGCGTGATACCTTAATTAGGAGTTACAAACCAACGGCTTGGCTTATATCGGCGGTAATATTCTGCGAGGCACCTTAGTGTTGAGAAATTATCAAACAAGTCTATTTGATGTCATCATAGCTCGTTTGATAATGGGGGGACTAGATGATATAGCATAATGGATCATTTAAGTAGACCGCAAGAGATCGGCTCGGTTCATGAACCGAGCAGATACGATTGACTAAGCCGATGAAATTGGGCAATCGCATGCTCGGCCCATCATCAATCCTATTATGGATATGTTTGGGTTCGGATGTGACTGGATTGAACAGGGGTGTTAATATATGGGCTTGGCCCAATAACGATCTGGTAAAAGCGTACAAAGAAAGCAAGAAAGTGACCTATAAATAGGTGGGTCTTGTGTTACAGAGGTATGAGTTATTACTTTTACAAAAACCCTAAATACATACTGCGCTTTCGTTGATACTCTACTAACTTGAGCGTCGGAGGTTTACCGCCGGGAACATCTCCCGGCGTCCTTGCAGGTTCCGAGGGCTCAGAAGGTTGGAGATCAAGGAAGGCCGGTCCAGTGTGCAATAGCACATCATAACAGTTACAAACCACGACGGAATGGTTCCATAACGCGACCGTAACATCTCCCGATAACTAGAAGGTACAGCCTGACATGAATTGAAAACATTACATTTGATCATTCAATTTTCTAGAAATTAAAATAAAATAGTAATTAAAGATGATTAAATTTAATCTTTGGCTCCTTGTACTTCATGTTATTAAATTCTAGCACCATATAAAAGAACTATATTTTTTTTAAAAAAAAAATAAAACTCGGACAAGAAAAGTAACTCAAGAACAAAATCCTATTTTTTTTTTTATCTCC